AATCGAACGGCAGAGAAACACAGCCCCCAATGGAGTCACGCCTTCATTCCGAGATAATTTCATCCTATTCCGAAACCGCGGGAAAAAGAACCGCACGAACTCGGTCGGTCCCTTGTTCGAGCAGCAACATCTGCTGCCTGTGTGCACAGACTCGCTCATGGAATTGGATTCAAATGATGGCGCGATGAATCGTGTCGATGTGTTTGCGGGATCGAGCATGACGGCTCCAATCCGATCACAAGCCGATCGCATGCCCTGATCAGTGCGAACCCGATCCCGCAGATTGGACACTTCGATCGGAGAACTTATGAAACGTCGGCGTACATGATGACCTCGCTGTTCGGGAGCCGAGCGTGTCTCTTTTGTCTATGGCTTCGAAAACGATCTGGGTACACGCGCAACTTCCGTGGAAGGCAATCGTCGACCGGGTGGGAAATGCGACGAGCGAGCGAGTGGGGGAGGCGCAGTTCGGGTCGGTGTCCCGCAAGCTGGTCATTTGTATAATAAGTGCATTAAGTAGGCCGGGCGGGAGTGGGGAATAGGTGCAGCCAGCCACTCTGCTGGAGCCGCAAGGGAGACAAGAATAGCGATCTCGATTTCCCGAACATTGTACGCTCGCGAAACTCGGAGTCGAATCCTCCACTTGAAACGGACAACACGCTCAAGCACTTTCCTCCCACCCTCCTCTGAACTTTATATGTTGCCCATGCCATCATGTTCGCCCCGCGAATTCAACCTTCAGCCGACTCCCACGCTGCTGCCCGCTCACGCAACGGAAGATCCCTCGAGAGGCACCGAACGGGGGCGGTATCATGTGAGCAAGATACAGCATCTCTACGAGTGGGCGAGCTCGCCCTTTGAGCGTCGCCGAGGTCGCGCTGCTTGTAGCGACTTAGATGCCTCGGGATGTGGACCCTCCGAGGTACATGTAACGAAATTGCTAGTCCGGCATAGAATAAGATATTTTGTAAGCCTGCTTCCATCCAAACAATGTCCTTCGGCCGCCATCTGTGTGCATCATCAGACACCCGCGAGATGGACAGCGCGTGGGAAGTAGCTGCTCATGGCTCGCCGTCGAGCCCGGGGAGTTTTTACGTTTTTTCCTCTTCTGTCTCTCCGCGCTCGGATCCTCCGTTTTTCGTGGAAGGCGCCCTAGTTCATGAAACCGTTCCTAAGACGCTAGGTGATGAGGCTCACTAACTGTGTGGGAGCCTGGACTCGCTCCGTCGGTAAAACTTTAGAGCATTCGAGCTGTTCGAAAGAGAGCTCTGTGTTCCGCCGACGGAAGTTTTGCAGCCTTGAGAGAGACATAAGAGCTTCGCGAACGAACCGAGGTAAAATGGTAAACATTCGAGGGTTAGATCCCAGCCATTAGAGCCGCTGCTCGTTGTAACCCGAGAGCAATTTGAGGCAACCATAATGAGTCTTTAGCGAGAAACATTTAGATTAGAGTCCGACTCGACTCTCCAGACCGGTAATGCTCGACTCCAGGTCTGCTCCCCGTCGGGAACACGCCGGCATGTAATAGCAACAGCGGCGTGATCAGAACCTCGCCAACACACGCGCTACCCACGCGTTTATGATGGAATTCGATGGAGCGCAGCAGCTTATTACCGAGAAACTCGACGGCGGAAACCTCACCAGCAAAACGTCAGTCGGTGGAAAGCCGAGCAAACCACGGAACCGAGATGACTTCGCTTAGACCCCACGGCAGAATTATGATACGTATAAGAACGGTCTCGGGAACCGCAGAAAGGAATACCGGGCAGAGATAACATCGAGCAACCACTCCATGCTTCCGGGACTGTTCGAGGGGGATGTCGCTTGCGCGTAGTCATTCGGCTGGAGTTCCCTTGTGGAATTCAAGGGGTATGTTTTCCGAAGACTATCAAAATACGGACGAGGGTGGAGAATTTTTTCCTCGCGAGGGACGCGAAGGCGTTCCGCCCCAATGTCTCGACCTCGGTTTCGGTCTAGCCGCGGGTTCGGTTCGCTCTTGGATGATTACCTAGATTGTCTGGTCGCTCGCTTGCTTGCTCGGATGGATGGATCGGGGTAGGAAGGAGTCGGAAGAGCTCGTACTGGGACACAGTGGACAGCCAACCGGTTGCGAAACTGAGTCGCGAGTGTGTTTCCTGCAGATACGAAACAACTCGTTACGGAGCTGTGCTCTGCGATGCTTCACCCGCATCACCTGTTCGGTGTGGGGAAACTCCGCTCCGTTATACCCGCCATACCCCGGCGAGCGCTCACTGAGACGGACCGTCTACCGGTTGGCGAGTCGGCCGCTTATCCTGCAGGGGTCGTTGTCAAACCTCTCGGGCAAGCCTATAGTTCCCCGGTCGGGGACAACACGACGGATGACGAGAGTTCTCTTGATGCGTTCCTCTCCGCGTGAGCTCTCTCCGGACGCGACCCTTGTGCTGTAGCTCGAGCTGATGGTTCAAACACAAGTCGCAGTATACCCGCTAACCTCGTCGCAACTCCTTCCGGGCTCCTCTCCGATTCGAACGTCTTGAAAAACCGAAAACACGCTCCAAGGAGCCTCTAGACAGACGATCGAGTTGAATATCTCATTAGCGAATTGATGCGATATCTTGGAAGTCTGTCGCAGAGCATGTAGTGATTCGACGGTCTGAACGGATGAGAACCTTTCGCGAAGCATGCAGCGGAGGCAATTGATCTCCGCTCTGGAGCCGAATGGCTATCCCGCTAGAGTAGAGAGCCGGCGGCGGCTCCTCCGAGCGTACGGCGCACCGAGGTTGCGCGCGGGACGGAACGTCGCTCGTCGTACTGATGTCGTTTTGAGTCTCGCGCCGAGCTGACCAAGCTCGGCAAGAACAAATACTCCACATTCCTCGAGCCAGCAGCGGACGTAAGTTCGGTGGTTCGGACGACCCCGGTCTTCTCGATGCGCGCGTGAGTGTGCGCGAGTGTGTTTCTTAAAAATTATCCTTCATTCCGCTCGCTTTCTCATTGTCGAAGCAAACCTAATAACTTCACTTGAAGTCTTCTCTCTGCGGGCCGTCCGACCGGCCAGCCAGCTCGACAGCCGGACGGACCACCGCCCGTCCGTCCATCCGCCCCTCTCCTCCGAATTTGAACGGTGCGAGTTCCCAGACGTTCTTCTCAGAGTTCAGAAGAACGGTTCGCCGGCAAGGTCGTCCGCTAGGGACGGAGCTAACCTCTGAAATTCCAAAGTCTGATCTGTTTTTCCGCGGTGGCCTCGGCGCCCAGCGGGAGCTCCGGGTCGGAATCTGCAGCGTCCGAAGGGACGGAGGAAGATCGAGCTCCTGACAACATCAATAATTCCTTACAGCAGTAGCTCAGCTCCTCTGTCTCCTCTCGGTTCGGAGAGGACCGCTCGTGTCATAACTCAAACTGTGTTCGAGTTGTCACCTCTGACGGCTGACTGTGACCAAATCCTCTTAGCTAGAGCCGACCGTAAATCACGAGGACGGGGAGGAGCGAGAAAAGAGCAGCAGTTGGTAAATTACTCAGCGCTTGGATCGACAACGAAAATGAGCTCATCAAGCTCCTATCATCCGCGTCGTTTCCATCTTGCCCTTTATTACGCTCCAGCTCTTTGGAAAAAGCTTAATAATTAACCCAGATTCAATTTATCATCGTACAGTCCTACCCGAGACGCTTTCTCGTATCCCCCGGACACGATTCGGTGGACAATCCTCGCGCGTCGCGATCAGGCCGAGGATTCATTAGGGATTTTCGAAACGAATCATCGATTGGAAAAACTGAGAGTGAATCACTATCGGAGAGCGAATCAATGAGGTGGGCAGCTCGCCCCAAAATTATTCATTTCGCGTCAAGAGACAAGCACAGCGTGCACGACGGTCGCCGATCTCGAATGCAAGGGCTCTGGAATACTGGGGCACCTTTGTGATGATATTGCAGGCCGGGTCTCGCTTCGCACAGTGGAGGTATTGAGAGTCGGCCCGAGAAAACCACACCCGCATCGATGGGACGGGTCTGTGTTGCTACATGGTCACATTCGTTTGTCGGCAGCGAATCAGTGTTTTTTTTCCCTCCCGCTCGGAGTTCGATTAGAGCCATCACAGAACAAAGAGAGCTCATTACGTGTCGCTCCTCACAGTGCTTATCATTTCCGAATCCCTATCTCGTGCTTTACTTTCGTTCCAGTATCGCCGCCGACTGAGCTGGATGTAGTGAAGCACAGCTGACAATTACGAACACCGAAACCGCGCGACAAATGCTTCATAGGTCTTTCGTCTTCGTTTCGTGATCTCGACGGCGATGCGAGAGTCCACGATTATTCGGAACGTATCCAGATCCCTTTGGGAAACTCTTCGACCTCGTTGGTGAAAGACGTGGGCCACCAGGCTGATGCCGACCAGTCTGCTCAACGACTCCTCGTGCGCTCGGTTCCGTTTCGCACGATCCGGACGCGCATCCGATACCGCTCGGTCCGGCTTCTCCCGAAGGTCGAGCTCGTTGTACTACTTCCTCATTCGAAAGTGAGTCAGATGAGGAAGATACAATAATCGAGCTGATAAGATTGATTAACGGTCGACCGCGCCCGAGCTCGTGCAGATAACCGGCGGCTCCGAAGCAGCTCTCAAGGAGTTTTCTCGACCCATCGAATCTTCCGTTCTTCATCGCCAAGTTTTTTCGTTCCCGAGCCTGCCCGACGGCCCGCCTCCTCGACCGAGCGGACGGTGACTGTCTGTCTGTCGGCCGGGCTCCACTCCTTCGAACCAGAGGCTGCGGCAGCACCGCAGCGTGCGCGCGGATGGAGATACGAGGCAAAGAGCCCGGCGCGTGCGGCTCTTCCTTCAGAATGGCTCCTCTCTCTCGGAAGAGCGCTGACTCGAGAGCTGTCTCTATCGAATTTCCAGCTTCCTGAAAACCGCTGTCCGGAAGCCAGCCTCCTCAGGAATGGAGGAATCCCTGCTGCTCGCATTCCACGGACGCATGAACGGAGCCTAAGGAATCTACACCTTTCATTGTATGGACTCACTCACCATTGCGGGAGGCCCCCGAAATAGAGGAATAGTTCGTTATCCGACACGACTCTCGCGGCTGAGGTAGAGGAGACGTCGGAACGAAGCTCCTCATCGAGTCGCCAATGCGTGCTTTCCGTTCCGGAGCGGAACATTTCAAAGCGGTGCCATTGGCCGTCCGCGACTCCGCGACCTGTCAAGAAAGCAAACGTCCGTCCGTTAAGTCCAGTTGATGTTCAATTATAGCCTCTTCTGACCGAGCCCATGGTATTCAGTGCGGCAGCTCTCTGGGCTGATTTCAGAGTTCGACTCGACGCGAGCTGCCCGAGTCCACTGACAATGAGTGAAAGAGCGGCGTAGGCTCTAGCGACCCTCGCAGCTGCCGCTCGACTCGGACCAATCCCGCTCTCGAGCTGAAGAAAAGGAGGAAATTCTCACCGAACACTAGACGGCTAGACCTCGGATTCACGCTGCCCGGTAAAAGGTAGCGAAGGCTGAATTTGCCTTCGATGACCTTCACCTCGACGAAATGCCTTCCCGTAGAGTCGTCTGCATACAAGAGTAGTCCATTGGGCGAGCTGGTGCGGAATTCGAACACCAGCGACGAGTTGGTCCCCGTGAACCACTTCTTGAACTGCACGGACGAGCTCTGAGTTCCATCCAGCGTGATTTCGGAGCCGGCGTGCACATGAGCGCACAGGACGGCGCTCAGCACCATCAGCGTCGACAGCCACATGATCTGCAAAGAAAGAAAATATCGTTTCTAATTTACCGCTTCAATCAACGACGGGTTCACAGTTCATTGTCACAGCCGCGGCAGTTCGAGACGGAGTCCGGTAGCTGAATGTAGCCCGGTGGGTTGTGAGTCGGGCGAAAAGTTCGATTTCGCCTTCGTCAGTGATTGTCTCAGTAAAAAAGCGCGTGGACTTGCGTCATGCGGGTATTTTCTTAATCGGTATTGATGTCTCACAGACTCCGCTTCCGCTATAGAAGAATTCAGCGCACCCGCGGCCAAGTTTGAGCTATTCGGAATAACTCTGATCACTCGAGATCTTCGGATGAGGGTGGGGTAATAGACTCCGATGCGAAGCGGTTATTTCTCTTACAGACTCCCCTGATTCCTATCGTTGGCTCTCCCGGTCTACATTCTGAAGTCCCTGGAGCCGACGTCGGTGGGCAATAGCTCGAGGTCGTTCAGTATGCTGACACGATCCGCTGCCTGCGCGTCTGCGACCTCGACCTTCCCTTCACACAGAATTTGGATCGGAAAGCCACGAGGAGCTGCGTCGCGAGGAGACGACAATTCTAGTGAAACTACGTCGATTAGAGAATTCGGGACTGGAAGGATCAGATGCTGATGCCAAGCCAGGCCATGCCGAAAAGAATCGATCGATGATGAGTTTTCGCGTGGAGTGACCCTACGACGCCCAAGGAGCTGCATCGTGTCCGCTCATTCAAGGGATGATTTATGCCCACAGTTGTATTTTCGGATGCTCCGTGACGTTTCAATGGACTGATGTCTGAACATCCCGATATGTTGCAAGGTCCGAATTAGCGGAGTAACGTTCATGCTCATGACCGAATCCGACCAGAAAGATGATCGGCAGGTCTGCCGATTGCTTGGGCGGCCGTTCGATCCTTCCGACCATTCGTTGGACCTTCCTTACTTTTCCGAATCTTCCCTGCTCCCCTCTGTGAGCAAGAGGTAATAGAAGGAGGTAACGGAAGGGGCTCCACGTTGCTGGCAACAGCAGTGGTGGGAACCCGGAGGAATATTGCAGTACTTGCGCTGTCGCAAAGCCAAAGCGAGCAAAACCCGTTGCCATAATTTCGCTTTTCCCGCGGCTGCATCTCGGTCGCACCCCGATCGCAAGTCGTACCCGTTTCGGGCCCTGGGTGCTACGCAAGGCGAGGCTCCTTTGTTGCTTTTGCCATCAGCTGCTCCTGCGTCCCTCGACAGCGGTGCTTTCGAATGAAACAGCGAACGACAAGGAACGGAATGAGCATTTTGCCGCGGCCCAAACTTTTTTTCACGGAGGAAGGAACTAAAACAATAGGGGCGGCCAGTTTCGCCTCGTCGATATTCGTTTGATGACCCGCCTAGTTATCTGCAGCGCCATCCCACTATTTCGAGTCATGCTGGAAACGGGAGCGGGGCCGTCTAACGGGATGTCGCTGCGAAGATTAAAAATCCGTTCACGTCATAATACTCTCGTTTCTTTTTTCTTCCGGAACGTTCCGGAACGGATTCCAGGCTGCGAGTATCCAAGCGACTCAATGCAATTACCTCTCGTTTCTAAACTCATTGCTTCAGTCGTAACGGTCCGACCCCCTCGAGGTCTCATCGGCCTTCGTGTATCAAATCATCGCTCTCGACGGAGTCCCGTTGCGACGCAATCGCCCGGGCTTTGGGGTTATTGTGAAACCGGAATCGCTCCTTCAAACAGAGTTTCCGAATCCGGAATGATTCGTCGAGGTTAACATTGCGTTCCGTCACACTCGGTCGGTACAGGGCCCGTACTCCGAATGTATGGTTTATTGACACCTTGAATCTGCAAGGTCTGATGAGAAATCGTCGAGCTCGTGATCGTTCTGTCAGAAGCTTCATGTATTGCAGAGACAATGGGCTCTTTGTGAGTAATAGGAGCGGGCTTGCTCGAGACCAGAGGAGGGCACTTCGACTTGGGAAGCCAGCGAATCAGCAAGCCGTCTATCCACTCATCCAAGGCATGTCAGGAGGGCCTGAGGCCATCTTTTGTTTCTCCCGTCTCCACTTCGCTTGTGAGTATTCTAATTACTTGTGCTGACGCTGAGGTTACCCGGGTCGGCTCGGACTCTCCGTTTCTCCTCTGAGCGTTCGTGCCTTGCCGATTGCTCTCGCAGCTCCGTCGCTTGTCTTGTGCGATCGCGGAGCTTGAATTCGCTCGCAACGTCTATCTGAGCCCTCGCTGCAGCTCCGAGCTCTGCGAAAATATTTCAGATTATTCTTATTATTTTCGGGTTCGACCTAGGTTCCGTCCTTCCAGAAATATACGTCCCCTGGATGAAGATTATCTCGGGGCTCATTACGAGACTGTCTGGGAATGTAGTTGGGGTTTTATTAATCGAGATTTATTGCTCGTGACGCGAGATCCCGCCGTCACTTTCCCCAAGCTCCGCCAGCGCGTGAGCATAGATGGACGTCGGAGTCGAGAGCCTCGGCTCTAGAATGCTTTAAGAGCAAACGCGAGAATAATAATTAAAAGTTACTCCCCGGCGTCGGTCAGCGGCTCTTCTTCGTGTAGGGGCCAGTGATGGTGGTCGCAGCGGCGATGGTGCTGTTCCTCGTCGACATCGGCCGTCCTTGCGAAATGTTACTTCTCGCCTTCGGCCTTTCGCTTCTGTTCTCGCTTCGTCCGCTGTCTGGAGCCACGCTCCGAATCTCGGATCGCATCCTTATTCTCTGGCCGCAGCCCATTGAGCCCCGATGCGTCGAGTTCATCGAGAATATATTCGGTGCACTTCCGACAGAGCCACCAGAGGGTGAGTCGGGGGTTGGCATCGCCGAGTGCGAAGCCTCACGGCTCAGAACGTGCACAATTTGTCAACCATCGATGTGGTCTGAGTACGCTCCGGCAGACTGAAGAAAATCGAATCGGTCGCTGATTGAGTTCCCCGCAACAGTGTTCCAGAACAAAATCAAGGAATAACCTGCTTTAGGAATTTCCAGCCGGAAGGCGTTTGCAAGAGCCCGCAAGCTTTGCACGGACCAGGCCCGGGATAATCGAGAGATGCTCGGAGATCTTGAGCAGACGCGGCTCCCATGGTGGGCTCTAGGCCCCCAGAAAATAGAAGTCATCTCTTTCCAGGGACATATCAGCATGAACGTACGTGCAAAATATTTTTCCTCGCAGGAGGCCAGCAGCTGCTTCGGCAAGCAGCTCGTGGGGCAACTTAGTTGTGCACAGGGTCCCACGCACGTTCCATCCTCACGCCTCTTGTATTCCCTCGAGTGCTTTAGGAATTCATCTTGAAGAATAACTTGCGTTTCAGCTTCAGTCGTTGGATTCCCGAGGACGGCGCTCGCATGGCTCTCAATTGCGATTGCCGATCCACGTCTCCAACATCAACAACAACAGCAGTAGCAACGACGACGACGACGGGAATTAATGTTTCCCGTCTGTGATGAAGTTGCTCGAAGCTATCGGGAACATCGCTCGTGGACGGCCAAAATGCCGCTGCGGGTGGCTCAACCGGAACGTGATCGATGGAGGACGTCGTGTTCACAAATTTCAACAACAGTTCGAGGATCCCGTCGGAGGGGCATCAATCTTTGGACATTTATTCTGCTTGCGTCAGCTTGTAGCGGGACAACGTATGAAGCACATAACGGAGATAATGGAAGGAACTCCGAGCTACGGTGAATAAAGAAAACTCGGTCGAAAAACGTCGTCTCCCGGTCGAGCTGCCGCGCATCTGTGGGAACGCAACGAGATCGCACGGGGACTTCCCGCCGCGACCGCATTATCGAGTCACCTTCGACAGGTAACAGAGTTCATCGAGAGGCCCGATGATTTTTCACCCTCAACTGAACTCTACACGACCACCGACTTGCTAGTAGTCTCAAAAAGTATCCGGTCACCGAGCACGTCGACGGGCCTAGCCAGCTCGATGCCGAACGCAACGATGGATGAGCTACCGTAATAGATGACAGGAATCGATTTCGTGCAATTCTTGCCACGACCGAACAGCTGCGGCCCGATGTTGATTATGACGATCATTATCGTAATAAATGTTATGCGCAATGTTTGGCGGTCCTCTTCCACCCCCTCAACGCTATAGAATACGTTTCATCTGATCCCTATGGTGGCCGGAGTGCAGCCGTCCGTGGGATCGCGGATTTGCAGAACCCCACAGCTCACCGTCCGCACACCGTGCTGCCAGCGTCCGCCAGTGGGCGAGTCAAATGGGAATAAAAGGAAGACGCGCTATGCTTGAGCACAAAAACTTCCGTGTACCAGATAATGGCAAAAAGAGAGTTCAGATACGCATTAGGATTCAGAACGGTATGGAAGGAGCAAGGCGGGACCACGCCGCCTGCCAGCAGCAGCGGACTCACCTCGACTCCAGAGACCCAGAGGAGAAAACAACCGACAACGAGCTTCGTTCGATAAGGTGTATACCGGCATCTCGTCCACCCGATCTACAACCAAGTCAGAAGTCGAATCCGGCGTCTACCTCTAGTCAAAAATACCCACGGGAAAACTTCTCGGAGCTGGTACCGCTCAAGAGTAACGCAAGTCATGCTAGTGCAACTCAGCCAAGGAGTTTGCGTCGCTGGCTCACAGAAAAACACCGCAGGAGCCCGCACACCGGCGGACTTCACCGAAGACCTTCACCGCTCTCGGAAGCATCAGCGCGGTCGTCGTCATTGTGGCTGTTCTCCTCCGTGCCAGAGCTCGCTGCAGTCCCCACACGATTCGGTACTTTCGGTGTCCGATATTGGCCGCATCCTTCCCGGCAGGTACACTAGTCGTGGTGGGCTACCAATCGGTATAGGTGAGCGCTGTCCCTGAATTGCGTGAGCCAGCGCGTATCTCTCCCCTCCCCTTCCCTCCCGGGGTCAAACCCCTCGACTTCCTCGGGAAGTGCCTGGAGCTGGAGACGAAACAACTCCTTTCGACCCGGGATATTCGGACTGGGAATTCGGCCTCAAGTCGGAGGCGCCGCTCATGTATTCGGAGGCTTCCTGAGAGTCTC